GCGAATACAAAATTGTCTCCACCACGCAATCCAAACATGGCCCATCCCGCGAATACAAAATGTCTCCACCACGCAATCCAAACATGGCCAATCCCGCGAATACAAAATGTCTCCACCACCACGCAATCCAAACATGGCCAATCCCGCGAATACAAAATGTCTCCAACATGGCCAATCCCGCGAATACAAAATGTCTCCACCACACAATCCAAACATGGCCAATCCCGCGAATACAAAATGTCTCCACCACGCAATCCAAACATGGCCAATCCCGCGAATACAAAATGTCTCCACCATGCAATCCAAACATGGCCAATCCCGCGAATACAAAATGTCTCCACCACACAATCCGAATATGGCCAATTTCGAAGTCAGAAAAATCGAAAACTGTCTGTATCATTGCTTGGGAGCTGCAAAATGGTATCTTTGTAGCAAATTTCATGTAAGTTGGTTGACACAGACATGAATAGTTCACGAAAACTTCCAAAAATTGTGCCTCTCTCGCTGAAAATTGAGCAAAAGACAAAAATTGTCTACATTTATGTTTGGAACTTGTATAAAGTATCCTAACATTTTGCTTTTTGTAACCTTTTGATCCCCTAAAATGACCAAAAATGCCGATATTCCATATGTATCTATAGCTGAAAATGCAGGGAATGTTTTGTTGTGTCGTACCGATTCAAACCCGGTTTTCGCCAACTCCGTAATCTATAGCTCTACCACATTAAAATACAAATACAATTTGTACAGAACGATTCACATTAATTAGAGAGTACCAGTTCTAATGAAGTGATCTAACGGTACAGAACGATTCACATTAATTAGAGAGTACCAGTTCTAACGAAGTGATCTAACAGTACAGAACGATTCACAATAATTAGAGAGGACTAGTCATAACGAAGTGATCTAACAGAACAGAACGATTCACAATAATTAGAGAAGACCAGTTCTAACGAAGTGATCTAACAGTACAGAACGATTCACATTAATTAGAGAGTACCAGTTCTAACGAAGGGATCTAACAGTATAGAACGATTCACATTAATTAGAGAGTACCAGTTCTAATGAAGTGATCTAACGGTACAGAACGATTCACATTAATTAGAGAGTACCAGTTCTAACGAAGGGATCTAACAGTATAGAACGATTCACATTAATTAGAGAGTACCAGTTCTAATGAAGTGATCTAACGGTACAGAAGGATTCACATTAATTAGAGAGGACCAGTTCTAACGAAGTGATCTAACAGTACAGAACGATTCACATTAATTAGAGAGGACCAGTTCTAACGAAGTGATCTAACAGTACAGAACGATTCACATTAATTAGAGAGGACCAGTCATAACGAAGTGATCTAACAGTACAGAACGATTCACATTAATTAGAGAGGACCAGTTCTAACGAAGTGATCTAACAGTACAGAACGATTCACATTAACTAGAGAGTACCAGTTCTAATGAAGTGATCTAACGGTACAGAACGATTCACATTAATTAGAGAGTACCAGTTCTAACGAAGGGATCTAACAGTACAGAACGATTCACATTAATTAGGGAGGACTAATTCTAACGAAGTGATCTAAACAGTTTTGTCTTTCTTTCTCTGTTCGAAAGATATATTTTGCTAATCCTTTGATTTTTTGAGTAAATTACAGCAGACCTGAAAAATTTTAAGATACTACAACAGTTTTTTTTTTCTTTTCGAGTAAAGTCAGATTGAAAGTGATTGACTATATGTAATAACCTTCATCAAATTTACGATTATTTGCATTTCTGCTATCATAATTTATGGGCCGTCCTAATTACTGCTTTGATTAATTTCAAACTGAGCCGGTACTTTTGTTTCACTGTAACTTTGTCTGTTAACACTGCTGTGTGGAAAATGATATACATGCAGAGGTTGAGTACGTTGTGTTAAAACGATTTTGGAGCCTCACCACGTCTTTACATTTCTTGTCGCGGCGTTCAGTCGTGCTCTATCTGACGACCGTACATCTTGACAATAGTACTGCAGCGTAGTTGTCATTGCAAAAGGCTCCATCATAAGGGTTTAATGTTCAAAGCACGCCCCTCCTCCCTGTGTGTTTCCATAATCTAGCTAGTGTAGAAGGACAACGGTTCCCATCGCCCATTTCAACAGCCAGAATACACAAAAATTAATAAGTGCCGCATCAGCCGACTTTACCAGTATGTCTTCATAGGGAATGACATGAAAATTCTACAGCAGCTTGATGTGTGGTCTGGATAGCCCTGGTGTTCAAATTTAATCCATAGTCTTTTGTTTTCCTATGCTATTAGATACAGTCTCGTCTTGGAAATTCTAAATCCCTGACCTAAACACATCTTTATGATCTGAGTGTATGAATATTTTGCTTTGGAAAGGGCTATTAATATCCTTTCCCAAATCGGGTAAATTTTCGGTGACATCGCGCTACCTACATAGCGCCAAACAATCTCAAAATGTAGTTATGATACATTCCGTGTCACCGTCACATTATAGCTGCTGTGGTTGTCACGTGACTTGCTGTTTTACTCATTAGATAATAGTGAAATTACAACGTGTAGGGTGAACTTCTGAAACGTTGTGTACTAAATACTGAGGGAATTATAAATAGAAACGCAGTTGGAAAACTTCACCATAAAAAAGAATATAATAATCTGAGTGAGCTGAAATTCAAAAACAAGAAATTTCGAGACTTTTCTCACAATGTTAATATTATTTTCTGTGTTTTGAAAATGTGCAGTTTGTTGGCAGGTGGGATTATACCCTATAAACCTTTTATCAAAAATGAATTATAATAGGTCCTTATATTCAGTTTTTTTTTAAAAAAAAAACGCTTTTCTTGCATTGTTTCCGCATGTGTGAACTTTCAGCAGGGACGTGTGCTGTGTGTGTGTTCTCTCTCCGATCGTATGGAGTTAAACATGTATATTTCATTGTGTGTTATTGTAAATTTACACGTCTTATTCGTTTCTCCAGCAACTACAGTTACGTTTAGCGAATAAGAATACAAACATGTTTTTACTATTATACATTGTGGAACAGCATGTAAAATTTGCTTAAACTCGGTGTCAGACTTCCCTCAGCTTGTCTTCAGAACTTTTATCTCGAAGGTCTTGTTTCAGTCAAGTTCAGTGTTGATTCGATTGATTTATATACTGGTTTTTAAAGACTGTATTTTTTTAGGACAACACAGTTTACTCAAAAAACTGAAGTTGGAAAACAACATCGGAAACTTGGCCTTAACAGCGTCCTCCGTATCAGGGACGAGCACGTGCTCCTTGACTCCAACCCGACGGAGACACCGAACGACGTTTACCCAGGATCAGTTACAAGAACTAGAAGCGGCGTTCTCCAGAAGTCACTACCCAGACATTTACTGCCGTGAAGAACTGGCTCGTATCACGAAGTTGAACGAAGCAAGAATACAGGTTAGATGTTATTCAGTGCACACTTTTGTAACTATTCTTGTGAGGAGTTAATCAGTGTACACATCTGTACTTATTCTTGTGAGGAGTTAATCAGTGTACACATCTGTACTTATTCTTGTGAGGAGTTAATCAGTGTACACATCTGTACTTAT